AAAAGTGTGTGTTAAAAAATTCAACAGGTATAAAAGAGTACACGGTGGAACGTAAGTCTTTCTCTTACCTCAGACCATGGATGGATGTCTTGGGTCTCCTTCCAGGCACATTCCATGTATGTATCAACCACACGCATGTGTGTGTCATTTATTTCTCACTCTATACAAGTGGCACCTAATATGGTGAGGTGGTTATGATTACAGACTCTAGAGGCAGAGTTCCTGGGTATAAATCTGAATTCTGTCACTCCCAAGCTAAGTGGCTTTGGACAAGTGATTTCACCTTCCTGTGCCTCAGTTTGCTAGTCTGTACAATGGGATGGTAACAGCATCTACCTCAGGGACTTGAGAATTCAGCAACTTCACACCTGTAAAACCCTTAGAGCAAGCAGTGTGTAGCACTCAATAAAATGTTGACTAATTATTCTCGCTTCTGTACTTTGCTTTTCTGTACCAATTGTAAATATTAATATTTTATCACTTTTCTATTATTCTTATTTCTGTACCTTGCTTTTTTCACCAACACAGTGTAATGCAGAGATAATTCCAGAGACATACAATAAGTCTTTTTTTTTTCTTTTTTTTTTGAGACCAAGTCTCTCTCTGTTGCCCAGACTGGAGTACAGTGGCATGATCTATGCTCACTGCAACCTCCACCTCCAGAGTTCAAGCAATTCTCCTGCCTCAGCCTCCTGAGCAGCTGGGATTACAGGTGCTCACCACCATGCCCAGCTAATTTTTGTATTTTATTAGAGACAGGGTTTCACCATGTTGGCCAGGCTGGTCTTGAACTCCTGACCTCAAGGGATCTGACCGCCTCAGCCTCCCAAAGTGCTAGGATTACAGGCCTGAGCCACCACGCCTGGCCACAGTAGGTCTATCTTACAGTTCCTCCTCTAGGACACGCCCCATAAATCATTTCAGCATCCCCTGTTGATGAATATGTGGATGTTTTCCAGTCTTTTGCTGGTACAACAATGCTGCAGCAAACATCTTGCACTTTAAGATCTAACAAAGGGATTGAGTGAGCCAGGAGTTTGAGACCACCCTGGGCAACATAGCAAGACCCTCCCTATACAAAAAATTTAAAAATTAACCAGGTGTGGTGGCACACATCAGCTACTTGGAGGCTGCAGCAGGAGGATCACTTGAGCCCAGGTGTTTGGGACTTGCTTGGACAACATGTGAGACCCCATCTCTGTTGGGCATGTAATTAGCTGGATTATTAATTAGCCTGTAATCCCAACACCTGGGAGGCCGAGATGGGTAGGAAGATCACTTGAGGCCAGGAGTTTTAGACCAGCCTGGTCAAAATTGTGAGACCTCATCTATATTTAAAAAAAAAAAAAAAAAAAAAAAAGAAAAAAGGTCAGCGCAATGACGAATGACTGTAATCCCAGCACTTTGGGAGGCCAAGGCGGATGGATCACAAGGTCGGGAGTTCAAGACCAGCCTGACCAATATGATGAAACCCCGTCTCTACTAAAAATACAAAAATTAGCTGGGCATGGTGGCGCATGCCTGTAGTCCCAGCTGCTAGGGAGGCTGAGGCAGGAGAATAGCTTGAACCCGGGAGGCAGAGGTTGCAGTGAGCCGAGATCACACCACTGCACTCCAGCCTGGGTGACAGAGAGAGACTCTGTCTCAAAATAATAAATGAATGAATGAATGGCTCCAGTGCATGGTGACTGAGTTTCTTCCTTTAGAAGACATCACTGTTCCCTGGCTTGTGGGGCTGGGCTGGGGTGGGACAGATAGACCACCATCATCGATTCATTTACATAAAACAACTATTGTGTGTGGTGCCTGGCAGGGCTGGGGGACAACAGAGGCAGAAAGCCACATACCCTGCCCTCATGGAGGTTGTGATCCAGTGGAAAAGAAAGACCCATTTCTAACTAGGAGTGGCATAGAGGGGCCAAGAGATCAGAGGAGGGCTGGTCACGTATCACGGAAAAGACCTAAAGGAAGGAAAGTGGTGGGCCTTGTTAAAAAGTAGGGAATAGGGCTGGGTGCGGTGGCTCATACCTGTAATCCCAGCACTTTGGGAGGCCGGGGTGAGGGGGGCGCAGAACACAAGGTCAGGAGTTCAAGACCCGCCTGGCTGACATGGTGAAACCCTGTCTCTACTAAACATACAAAAATTAGGGGGGCATGGTCATGGGCACCTATTCAGGAGGCTGAAGCAGGACAATCACGTGAACCAGGAGGTGGAGGTTGCAGTGAGCCGAGATCACACCACTGCACTCCATCCTGGGTGATGGAGTGAGACTACATCTCAAAAAAAAAAAAAAAAAAAAAAAGGATGGAGTACTATTCCAGAGGGCATTACTGAGCCTGTGCAGGTCTGGAGTGTGCACAGGTCATGCCTGATCAAGGATATTCACGTCGGTCCATGGGCTGTGGACCATAGAGGTCGATGGCGGAGAGGGCTGATGAGCCAGACAGAATGACAGGAGGAGAGTATGAGGGCTTTGCAAGTTTTCCTGAGGGCCTAGAGGGTCATGGAAGGTTCTAGAGCACTGGTTCTCAAGGTATGGTCTCCAGACTATTAGTACCAGCATCATGTAGGAACAAATTGTCAGGCTCCATTCCAGATCTACTGAATCAAAAATCCTGGAGGTAGCCAGGTAGCTCTTCAGGAGGCTGAAGTGGAGGATCACATGAGCCCGGAAATTTAAGGCTAACCTGAGACAGGGTCTTGCTCTGTCGCCCAGGCTGAAATGCAGTGGTGTGATCACAGCTCACTGCATTTCTGTGTATTTCACAGCTCACTGCAGCCTCAAACTCCTGGGCTCAAGTGATTTTCCTGCCTCAACCTCCTGGGAAGCTGGGACCACAGCGTTGGGCCACCACACTGGGCTCATAAAAAAAAAATTTTTTTACCAACAGGGTCTCACCATATTGGCCACGCTGGTCTCAAGTGATCCTTGTACCTCAGCCTCCCAAAGTACTGGGAATACACGTGTGCACCACACTGCACCTGGCTGAATTTAACTTTCTGAGACAGGGTCTTACTCTATTGCCCAGGCTGCAGTGCAGTGGAGGGATCTCAGCTCTTTGCAAACTCCACCTCCTGGGTTCAAGCAATTCTCCTGCCTCAACCTTCCGAGTAGCTAGGATTACAAGTGCCCACCACCACGCCCAGCTAATTTTTGTATTTTTTTTGTAGAGACAAGGTTTTGCCATGTTCACCAGGCTGGTCTCAAACTTCTGACCTCAAGTGATCCACCCACCTCAGCCTTCCAAAGTGCCGCGATTATAGGCATAAGCCACTATGCCCAGCCAGAGACTCTATCTTTAAAACAAAAACAAAAACTCAGTATGTGGTGCCCACCAACGTGGCTTACCCAGCCCTTTAGGTGAGTCTAATGCACGCTTGAGTTTTAAAACCAGAGTTAAACGTCTGGTTTGCAGTTCATCAAAAAGTCATGGCCTGAATCCTTACCTGTAAGGAACCAGAATGCAAATGAAAATTAACTTAATGAATATTTTACTTGAGCCAGGCACATTTCCCAGCATCGAGTGTGATGGCTGCCCTTGTCCTGTTAAGAGGATAGTGTTAAGCGGCTGATTCATTCACATAAGGTCTCTAGGAGACCACACTATTTTGAGGAGTAGAATTTTTGGGTAGGGCGGGGCGTGGTGGCTCAGACCTGTGATCCCAGAGCTTTGGGAAGCCGAGGCAGGTGGATCGCCTGAGGTCAGAAGTTTGAGACCAGCTTAGCCAACATGGCGAAAAAATACAAAA